TACCTTTAGTGCGGTCAGTTAAAGCCCCTCCTAAGCTGCAGCGTAAGCGCTTTGCCAGAAAACAACTGCTTGAGGTTTTTTTGAGGAGAGGAAACTTTTTTTTTTCCAGATTAAGATGAAATGCCTTTCACTGTCCAATCAATTTTGCATTCAATGTAATCATATGTTAATGCTTTATGGTCATGGTTAGCATTGATTTATCTCATCCAGACTGAGATATTCCTGTTCCACAGTTTAGCCTAAACACTCCCTGCGTGTAGCGTGCCGATGGGATCTGCTCAGCTTAACCACTCGGCTGTGCTTTTTGTATTAAACTTGTGGAAGCTTTGTGCTGGCCTGCAAAACCTCGCTGTCCTGGCCCTTCTGCAAACCTGAAGGAAAGGATGGTCCCCATCTGAGTGTGTACTTTAGAACTCATTTTCTCCTGTCTCATCTTCCATTAACGTTTGCAGGCCCTTTGTAGTGCTGAAAAGCTATGATGGTATCATAGGGGATAGTCAGCTATTTGTATTTTTCACAAGAAAAAGCGAAATTTCAGGTTAGCTCACTGCGTACGTGTTTATCACAACAGGAGGAGTATGAAATAGTTTCTTAACAGTTAACAGGTGTGACTTATTTTGTGACTGACAGTTCTTTGGAGAAAGCAGTGAAGACGATGGGAGTTAGAGAAAACACATCAGGAAATAATCCATAATCCTGCAAATGCGTTTTCTGTAGGCGTGCTTGTGTCACTGGGAAGTTAAACGAGTCGTTCTGGTAGTGCCCCGATGGCTGAGATACGGACAGCAGCTTGAATACACACTTTAACTCTGGCTGAATAGGAGAGGACTGCCCTGTGGTCATCAGCTTTTAAAATACTAACAAAGACGAATTCTTTTTTGCAGTTTGTCCAGGATGCTGGCATGGTACAGGTGCTCAGTGGACTCTGTATTTTGCGATGGGAGTAGGGAGGGGTGTATCTTCATTTTCCTTGATCAAATGCAGTTAGAAATGTGATTTTCAGTAACATTTATGCGATAATCAAACCTAAAGGAAGGAGGGAACGGTGGATGTGGCACGTATTTTAATCAAAACCCAGATTTGTGAGAGTTCTTTCTGGAGTAAAACTCAGCCTATCTCCGACTCTTTTCAGACAGAAGAGCCCTGTTTGCTAATTTAATACCAAAATAATGTAATCTTGTGGTTTTTTTTTTTTTTTCTCTTAAAGCTTGGTAAAATGCGGCTAACTATACCATGTAGGGCCCTGACTTGTTCGCACCTGCAATGTTTTGATGCCACTCTATATATTCAAATGAATGAAAAGAAACCCACCTGGGTTTGCCCGGTCTGTGACAAGAAGGCTCCCTATGAACACCTCATTATTGATGGGTAAGTAAAACTTGAATCCACTTGCACTCTCTGCTTACTGTTCTTGTGCTGCACAGAATACAGTGCTCCGAAATCTTGGGTTATCTGGCCGTGACCTGTTTTAAGCTACCATGTCATTTAATTCCCCTGCTGTTGGTAAAGAATTACCAACCAGGTACTTCTTCATTCAGCGTTCTGGAAGAATTGTGGTTATCAAACTGTTCAAGTTAATAATAATGAAAAGTATTCCTTCCTACTGTAGTAAATTTTTGAGCTACCTACTGGTAAATTTTTGAGCTATCCTGCCTAAAATTGTTCTGGGTTTGTTTTTTTTTTTTAATTCAATATTCCATATTGCTGGCTCCCTAGGAGAAAACAGCACATGTTGCCTTGTCTTTTAATGGAGCAACTGCACAAATCTGGCAGAGTTGATAGCAGACATTCAGGTTAGATCAGATAAATCCTGACGCCCCCCCCAAATGCATGTACAATTCCATGTGCAGTTTCACACTGGGGGAGTTCCTATGTATAGAAAGTGACACAGAGATTGATTCCCTGGTGCTGCTGACCTGCAAAACGTTAAAAAAATAAATGTAGTATTGGCCTCCGTGAAGAAATGCCAAGTATGTGTTCCTGGGTTTGCATTTTGATTCCTTAGATAGGAACCATCCTTCCAAAGTGTGACAAAGGAAGAGAACAAGTAGAGTCTTCTGAGAATACTCTCAGAATGTTTTACTTAAAAACAAACAAAAAAATGCCAAAGCAAACAAGCAAAACCCCAAAAAGCAAACCTACAAACCCTGAAACAAACAGAACCCCAGAAAACAACCTCACAAATGATTGAGTTTGGTTTTCTTAAGTGAGTCTGTGCTTTGTTCTGGTGGCCTGCCAGTGAAGCATAAGGTTGCTCGGGAACCCCTTTAAGGCCTTGCAAAAAGCTCTTGAAGAGACACTCAGGGCTGGCACAGGCTGCTTTGGGCTCATGGACCCCGAGATTTACAGGTCTCTGCTTTGGATCAGTGAACTGCAGGGTTCCTTGTTCCAGGTTTCAGCCTAAAATAGTAAAGGCAAAGAGTAGTAATAATTAAAACAACACATTTTACTTACTTGTTCTTGCGTTGCCAGGTGAGGATGTTGGAGATGAGGTGATATAATCACACCATCCCAAAGAGAAGGTTATTTCTAGAAAATGTTTCAGTCTGGGAAAGAGTGAACTTTCTCACTAATTAAAGCAAAGCTCTTTCCTACGCAGAACCACATGAATAGTCTTGGTCAAAAGCTGGAATTCCCGCTGGGAGTGATGTGGTGCCAGGATCCTAAAAGTTTTAGGAGACGCAGCTAGAAGAGGCTGCAAGTTTTGCTTCCCATGCTCAGCTTTTGTTAGGAAGTTCTCGCTTATAAAGAGGTTTCAGGAAATACTGGTCCTTAAATAGTCAGCTATATGGATGCCTTTAAGATGTGGGCTTCCTCAATTAAATATTGTCAAAGATAAGTATGGGTAAGGAGGAGATTAGGTTTTTAATGCTAGTTAACATTCCTTGTTCATTTTGGGAAACAGAGTTCTGTGTCATGAGTTTTGCAGGATGACACTCTTGCAGTTCTTTTACGTGAATGTGCAGATTTTTATTATAGATAATATTTTAAATTTTTCCATGACTTTTTTTACTAAGGAAGCAGATGAGAAGGGTAGAACAATGAAAGCTTTCGACTCTTTTTCAACATTAATTCAAACTTACACTAATAAAGATATTGGAGGGAAAAAAGGAGTTAAGATCTTTCTGAGGCCTGATATTAAATGTTTTTGATTGTCAGGTTGTTCATGGAAATCCTGAAGTATTGTACAGATTGCGATGAAATTCAGTTTAAGGAGGACGGATCATGGGCTCCTATGAGATCGAAGAAGGAAGTGCAGGAAGTCACTGCGTCTTACAACGGAGTCGATGGTACGTCGTGTCTTGGGGTGTATGGACTGAATGTCATACTGTTGAACTGTTGAGTATTGACCTTCCTTTTACTTTTCAAAATGTTCTTTTTTGCATGTGTGTTTGTAGCTTTTAATGATCATTTGTGAGAAAGATTACTTGAGTAATACCTGTTTGGGGCTGATGGTACTTTTAAGTTAACGTTTTGTAACTTTGTTGTCTTTTATTCGAAGTTGTAAGCTTTATTTGTGAAGGCATATAAGAAGCTGAGATGTTAGGATGATTGTAATGTTGTTGTAAGCTACAGCTTATGGTGTGTCGTCTTACTTTCTATAGGATGCATAAGCTCTTCCTTGGAACATCAGGTGTCTTCTCACCAACAGTCAAATAAAAATAAGAAAGTAGAAGTGATTGATTTAACCATTGATAGCTCATCAGATGAAGAGGAGGAAGAACCATCTGCAAAGAGAAGCTGTCCTTCCATATCTCCAGCATCACCGTTAAATAATAAGGGGTGAGAATAAAACATGCAGGCCTATGCAGAGAGAATATACTCACCATGGAGACTAGTAACAAATTTCAAAAGAAATTGTATCTAGAAAGTTCTGTATCTGGATTATATCCTGATTGAGTAGCTTAAAGCAAATGGATTTGGTCTCAGGCCACAAGGCCTGGAAAGATTGGAATAGCTACTTTAAGTGCATGGCATGATACAGTTTTTCAGTTGTATTTGTGAAAATGAGTATAAAATGGTGCAAAAGGTTGTGGCTTAGAAGTATGTTTTTTGCAGATTTGGAAATGTTTTTCTTCTG